GGAGGAGGCCTAATCTATGGGATCTAATAGGTCGAGTGGAGGTGATTGGCAGTAGGCGGTCTCTCAAGTACCATGTTAATTACTGTAGAAGAAATACTAATGATCTGATGGTCATTTTGAAAAATCCTTTCTTAGTGGGCACCTAGAAACCAAGAGGAACATACGTGCCAAATTTCAAGTTTGTAGGCTTTATGGTTCTGGAGATTTCATGATGAATGAGTGGTATTTGGCTTTTATACATATAGATCAGTGATGCCGAACCTATGGCACATGTGCCACAGGTGGCACATGGAGCCATTTGTCAGGGCACGCGAGGCGCTGCCCTGTCAGCTGGCCAACGGGCATGCACGTGCTGGCCAGCTGAGTTCACCTCTTTTTAAAGCTATTTTTTGCCCTCCCCAGGCTCCAGAGACTTTATAGGAGCCTGGGGAGGGTGAAAAGAGCCTCCCCGCCCCCTTGCCCCCTGGAGGCTTCATGAGCTTCCCTGAAGCCTCCGGAGCGCAAAAAATCGGCCCTCCGGGCAAACCGGAAGTTCAGGAACGGACTTCCACTTTGCTCAGAGGGTTGTTTTGACTGCTCCAGAGGTTTCAGGGAAGCCTCCTGAAGGTCCCAGAGGGCTTCTGGGGTGGTGGGGAGGCTGTTTTCGCCCTCCCCAGGCTCCTATAAAGCCTCTGGAGCCTGGGGAGGGTGAAAAAGTATGCAAAAAATGGGGGGTAGCGCCTGTAGTGCGTGCATGCGCACTGGAGGGGGTCATACATTGCATTATGGGTGTGGCACACCCGCACACGACCCCCTCTGTGCTCCCCCCACTTATGGCACACGAGCCAAAAAAGGTTCACCATCGCTGATATAGATTATGGTCTAAGACTCCCCAGGAAGCTTCTAAGGTTCTGTTACTTCAATTAGAAAGGCATCATGGTGGGCAAAAAAGGCTTTTTGGTACACTTTTAGCAAGCACTGCATATTGATCAAAACAGTTTGATCTTTTCTCCTTTTCAGAAAAAAGTATAACAACCTTTACACTTACATAGGCAGATTCTTATCTGTTTTCATTAAGATTTGCATCCAAGTAGCATCAGTGTGATTGCTGATCATGGGTACACAATCCAGCACAGATCTGATTTTGAAGCTATTCCAAGTTATATAAACAAAGATTGACAAAACTTTGATTCTAATTCAAAGTATTGAAAATAGTAGCAGAATAATGTTGATAACTCCTTTCAGTTTCTGATGCCAATATAGAGGGAACTGGAGCTGTTCAGTCACATCATTATATGTGGGTTCCCACAACACATTACACTAAGGTAAAATAAGTGATTGCATTATGTATCAGGATATAGGATCCCAGTCATTGATTTACAAAGTTCTGAACCGCTGGATTAAACCGACATATAGTTATTTGGTTTTACAGTTGAATAAACATATTCATTTTGATAATACAGATTTAGAACATCCTATTTCAGCTCAATTGGAAGTTAACATTTTTAAAAAGCAAAGTGTAAATTTGGGTTCTTCAGTCTAACTACAGGATGATGGTGGTGATTATAATTCTGCAAACTAGGAATTGTGAATAGCTCTGTGCGTATGACTTTATGTTAATCTCTAACTGTCTTGGGTAAAAATGGAACATGTGAGATACAATTGTTTTGACTAAGGATGTCCAATTGCCTTAAATTTCTCATTTGGTGTTTCACACATGAACATTCCCTCTAGCATTTGCTCTCAAGCCCACTTTTTATTCAGCTTCATTCTCCTGTACAAACTAAAGCATTAGACAAAGAGCTCCTTTGCATCGTGTCTTCCTGAAGAACACAAGTCCTTCACTCTGAAAACAAGGGAAAATGCTTGCACACAAAGCCTGTAAGAGAAAAGCCCTCCAAAGCTCCTTTTTGTCTCTACACTGGAGAAGACAAGCATAAAGGGCCAGGCACTGCAAAAAAAAGAGACTGGGCCCCTTGGGCTCGTGTCTGATTCAAAATATTGTCCACCTTTTCCATACAGCCATTGATTGGCCTTCAATTGGTTTTTAAAAAAAACAAACTAAAACAAGAAGTGGGATACTTTATGCAGAAATCCCATTCCTTTATCTCAAGAAAATCCATGTTACCTGCATCTGCCCAGCAAATCAGTTTTGAAAAATGATCAAAGGTCAACCCATTTGGCAGCCCAATGTCTTGGTTGACCAAAATCCGTCTGTTTTCTCCAGTCACTGTTGATGTCTCGATTTTGGGAGCTTCCCGATTCCAGTCTGTCCAATAAAGATTCCTAAAAGGCAACCAAGATTGGCCATGCTTTAAAAGCAGTTAAGCAAAGGGAGAAGAGAGAAAAACCACGTGGAATCTGACAACGACATGCCTCTTCCCAAGAGAACAATCTCATGTTTGGAGATAAGATAATTCACAAAAGTTGTCCTAGGACCTAGGCTACCATCTTGACTTACATGACACGTCACTGGCCCGTATCCATAAGGAGAAGAACTTTTTCAGGAATAATTAGGAATTTCACATCGGTTACTTTGGGTTTGGTTTTAATTGTTTTTATTACTTAAAGCAACCTTCCCTAACCCAGTTCTTTCCAGAAGGGATGGACTGCAGATCATGTAAAGGAGATTGCTTTAGCATGATTTTGTCACTTTTACAGAAATATTGTTTATGTTTGTCCATGGCTCTAAATACGTACAAGATGAGTGGGAGAATGGAATGGAATTGTTAAAAAACAAACTTTTAATGATGTTCCCACCATGCTATTTATATCATCTGAGAACTTAATGCACTTCATTAGCATAATAGACAATTCTCAGTTTCAATCTGTCATCTCAGGCCCCCCTTTTAGATGACACGGTAATCATACTTGTCTATTTTAAGAACCTATGCTCATTATGAAATCATCCATAATCCTAAGGCATAATATGATTTGTTTGATGTTTAGCACAATGAATAAACTGGCCACTATTCAATTCAGCAGATTTGGACAATTTTCAACTGGTCTTTGGAAATATTGCTAAGAGGGCAATTGGCTTCCAGTTCTACGGGGTCTTGGAAGAAACGGATTACTTGACTCCTTTTCAGTTGGAATTCAAGCAAAGGTACTTTACCAGGTCAGCACTGATCACACGTAAGGATGATCTTGGGTGCACCTAGGTCCACCCTGACCTTCCTTGATCTCGCTGTGGTTTTTGACACATGATATCCTTCTGGAGGAATCCACAGTGCTCCTCACTTTCTTTCAGGGCTGGTTCTATTCAATATAGGGCCCTGATGGCGAACCTATGGCATGCATGCCACAGGTGGCAGGCACAACCATTTATTAGGGCACACGAGGCATTGCCCTGTCAGATCCAGTGCGCATGTGTGTGCTGGCCAGCTGACTTTGGCCTTCTTTTAAGACCGTTTTTTGCCTTAGCATGAAAAATCGGCCCTACGGACAAACCAGAAGTTCGGGAAGTGACATCCGGTTTGCTCATAGAGCCATTTTTTTGCTCTCTGGAGCCTTCAGGGAAGCTCCTGAAGCCTCTGGACAGCCTTGGGGGGGGAGGCTGTTTTTGCCCTCCCCAGGCTTCTAGAAAGCCTCTGAAGCCTGGGGAGGGCAAAAAAGCATGTCAAAAGCCGAAGGGGAGCGCTGGTCGCATGCACATGCATGGGGGGGGGGTCGCACATGCATGCGTGCTGGGGTTGTGCACACCATGCCCCCCCTGCACTCCCTCCCGCTTTTGGTGGCGCAGTGGTTAAATGCAGCACTGCAGGCTACTGCTAGATCAGCAGTTCAGCGGTTCAAATCTCACCGGCTCAGGGTTGACTCAGCCTTCCATCCTTCCGAGGTGGGTATCTCCAATACTCAAAAATGTGCATGTGAGGAAGCCCTGAAGAGCTCAAATACAG